TTCCTTATACTAAGACAATTCAATCTCTTTCCTCTTCCCCTTGTAAGTCATTCTTGCTACAACTTATTCTATCTTGTGTTGTGGGTGTGTGTTTACAGTGATGAGGTTATATTTATTTTTGGTGATTTCCTTCCTTTGATCTTTTTTTTTTTTTTAATTTTTTGTTTATTGCAGTAACATTGGTTTATAACATGGTAAAAATTTCAGGTGTACATCATTGTACTTCTATTTCTGCATAGATCCTTTGATCTTTGATTTTGGTATTTCAGTGGTTGCTAACATATTCTGATAAAGATCTACTATTTTTCTGATTTTGTCTACCTATTTTTCTCCCTGCTCCAAGCTTTGTATTCCCTTTCTCTTCTTTTTTTCAGGCCTGAGGGCCTTCTTGTAGCGGGGGTCTCGTGGCCATGAACTCCCTTAGCTTTTGTTTATCTGGGAAAGTTACTATTTCTCCAGCATATTTGAAGGATATTTTTGCTGGATAGAGTATTCTTGGCTGAAAGATTTTGTCTTTCAGTATTTTGAATGTATCATTCCAGTCTCTCCTAGCCTGTAAAGTTTCTGTTGAGAAATCCACTGAGAGCCTGATGGGAGTTCCTTTGTACATTATTTTTTGTTTTTGTCCAGCTGCCCTTAATATTGTTTGTCATTGACTTGAGCCAGCCTTACCACTATATGCTGTGGAGTGGGCCTTTGCCTGTTGATGTATTTAGGTGACCTATTGGCTTCACTTACTGGTATTTCCTGCTGCCTCCCCAGATTTGGGTAGTTCTCAGCTATTATTTCCTTGAATACGTTCTCTGTTCCTCATTCCTTCTCTTCTCCCTCAGGAATAACTATAATTCTTATGTTACATTTCCTAATAGAGTCGGATATTTCTCAGAGACTTTCTTCATTTCTTTTTAGTCTTGGTTTTCTCTCCTCCTCCATCTGGAGCTTATCTGTATACCTATCCTCTATAATGCTAATTCTTTCCTCCATATTGTCAGCTCTGTTCTTTAAAGATTCCCCTTTATCTCCTCCATTGTGTTCTTCATGTCCATCAGTACTGATTGGTTTTTCTTTATGATTTCAATCTCTTTTGTGAAGGAACGCCTTATCTCATTGAATTGTTTGTCTCTTATCTTGTATTTCATTGAGTTTTTTTATGATAGCTATTTTGAAACCTCTGTCATTTAGGTTATGGATTTCTGTGCCTTCAGGGTTAGTTTCTGGGTGCTTGTCATTTTCCTTCTGGTCTGGTTATTTCATGTACCTTGGCATTGTGGTTCCTGTATTTGCTTTGTTTTTCCTCATCCTGGAAATATCTGGTTGCAGTTTCCACTTGCCGCTACTGTGTGGGGGTTAAGGGCTGTGTAATCTGAGTCCCCTGCACTCTGCCCCCGCTCCTCTCTGCGATCGGCCCAGCCGCTCTGTCAGGTCTGGTCAGCTGAACTGCAGTGTCAGGCATGCCAGGGGGGTTGGGTAGGGGGGCTCTCTTTTGCCTGCTGGGTCCCAGGAGTAGGGGGCTTCTTGCTGGCCCCTCATTATCTGCTCTCCTGGGGGGCTCAGATGTTGATGGAACCCCTGCAGCAGTTCTGAGTTCTCTATGTGGGAGTTTCCCACTGGCTGAGAGAGCCCAAAGAGCTATGGTTTCCCCACTGAGGGCCGCCCCTCCCCTGTCTCTGGGAGCTGCATGGACCTGGATTGCTGATCTGATGGGAAGGAAGAGGATTTCTCCTTACCTGTCCCCAATTCCTCCCAGGGCCCCAGCAAGTCCACTCTCAGATGTGTGGCAGTGTGGATCTTTCCAATCTTCCTTTTTGCTGTGTATGAGTCTGTTGTTGGTCTGTGCCTGACCCTTTTGTTGTATCTTATTGGGTGAAGAGTTTACTGGAAAGCTCACTCTGCCATGATGCTAACGTCACTCCTCCACCAATCTTCCCCTTTTTGCTTGAGGAAGATTGTCCCTGAGCTAACACCTGTGCCAAACTTCCTCTACTTGGCACATGAGATGCTGCCACAGCATGGCTTGACCAGCAGTGTCTAGGCCCGCACCCAGGATCTGAACCCATGAACCACAGGCCACCAAGGCAGAATGTGCAAACTTAACCACTATGCCAGGCTGGTCCCTTTGTCTTTGGCTTTTGACAGTTTTTTTGATTATAAAGTGTCTTGGGTGTGCGGCTATTTAAGTTCATTCTATTGGAGTCCTTTGAGCTTCTCAAATTTGGATGTCCATTTTCTTCTTGAGATTAGAGCAGTTTTCAGCCCTTATTTCATCAAATAAGCTTTTTCTCTTTCTCTCTTTTTTCTACTTTTTGGACTCTCATAATAGATATATTGATCCATTTTATGCTGTTTTATATGTCCCTTAGGCTTTCTCCATTTTTCTTCATTCTTTTTTCTTTTTGTTCCTGTGACTTGATAATTTCCATGATCAGAATTGCTGATTCTTTCTTCTGCTTGATCAAGTCTGCTGTTGAACCCCTCTAGTGAATTTTTCAATTCAATTATTGTATTCTTCAGTTCCAGAATTTCTGTATGAGTTTTTAAATAGTTTGTCTTTGTTGATACTTTCATTTTGTTCATGCATTGTTGTCCTGATTTCATTTGGTTGTCTGTGCTCTCTTACAGATCACTGAGCTTCAAGACAATTAATTTGAATTCTTTGTCATATAATTCATAAATCTCCATTTCCTTGGGATTGGTTTCTGGAGATTTATTTTTTTTTATTTTATTTTTTTTGTGAGGAGGACCAGCCCTGAGCTAACATCCAATGCCAATCCTTCTCTTTTTTGCTGAGGAAGACTGTCCCTGGACTAACATTCACGCCCATCTTCCTCTACATTATATGGGATGCCGCCACAGCATGGCTTAACATGCGGTGCGTTGGTGCACGCCTGGGATCCGAACTGGCGAACCCCAGGCTGCCTCAGCAAAGTGCGCGCACTTAACCGCTTGCACCACCGGGCCGGCCCCCGGAGATTTATTTTATTCGAGCCATGGTTCTGTTTCTTCTCGTGCCTTGTGATTTTTTTGCTGAGTTTTATGCATTTGACAGAACAGCCACCTCTCCCATTCTTCTTACAGGGAAGACCTTCACCAATCAGCCTAGCTAGAGATTCTGGGGACCTCTAAAACCCTCTTTGGAGGATGCAATTTCTCTGGGCTTGTGAGTATACTTTCCCAGTTAGAGAAATCGGCAGTTTTTTTTTTTTCAGGAGTTTGTAATCTCTTAATCTCTGTGGTGTCTCTTTGTGGCACTGCTGGTTCTCTGGTATTGCAGCAGCAAGGTGCCATTCTCTCCTTTGTTCTCAGTGGTCTCCCGGTATCCCAATTATGCTGGCTCTCCATCACTACTATGAGTCAGGTGAGACAGATACGAGGCCCTTGGGCAGCCCTCTGAAAAGTTGGAATGCTGGACCCACAATTCATTCTTTCTTTCCTGAGGGAGAAGCTGCAAGTGGGTGCCCTCTCCCAAGTGTGCAGAGCTGTGCTGGCCTGTATGCAGCACTGCAGGCTCTCTGGTGCTGCAACAAGCCACTCCTGCCCTCCTTTGCTTGTAGCGGCCCCCAGGCATCTAAACTATGCCAATTTCATCAGCACTCCAAGTCAGTCGAGGCAGAAACCAGTCCCTCCAGCAGCCTTCCAAAAAGCCAGAACGTTGGGTGCATGTTTCACTCTTCTCCACTCTCCCACCCACCCAGAAACTGTGAGCAGGTGCTTTTCTCCCAGTTACACTGAACTGTCAGGTTGGCAGAGGGGCAATTGTAGGTAAAATGACACAGATCTTACCAGTTTCAATGTAGCTGTTCTTAACTTTGTGCTTGCCAGGGGTATCGCAACTTTTTAACTGGTTTCTGGAATTCTGATAAAGGTATTTTAGTCTATATATTATTGATAAGTTGGCATTTCTGTGGTGAATGAGAGCTGGGACTTGCTAGTCCACCATCTGGCTGATGCCCTCTTCCTCCCGACATTTTAACCAAAAGGGAAACAGTAACAGGCTATAGAACCCAGAATGATTTATAGATCACAAATAAATCATTTACTGAGTGCTATGGAGTAGGGTGTACCCCTTAATATTATAAACCCTTGTTTTAACGATGGGAAAGCCAAGGCACAGAGGTATCACAGCCAAACAGCAGATATGTAAGATCATGTTTAAAAAGTGACTGGAAGATAGTAGGTACTCAAAAATGAAAACTATTTTTATTATTTCCTTTATACTAAAACTTTTTTGAGATGGGGAAATTATTCTGAATTACTGCAGTGGGCCCAATGTGATAACAAGAGTCCTTATAAGTAAAAGAGGGAGAGAGATTTCAAGATGCTATGCTGCTGGATTTGAAGGTGGAGGGAGGGGTCATGAGCCAATGAATGTGGCAGCTTGTAGAAGCTGGAAAGGGGTAGGAAATGGATTCTCCCCTAGAGCCTCCAGAGAAAACACAGCCTGTGAGACTTATTTTTGGACTTCTGATTTCTAGAATTGTAAGATGATAAATTTCTGGGTTTTTTCTCCCCCAGGAAAGATTCACCCTGAGCTAACATCTGTTGTCAATCTTCTTCTCTCTCTTTTTTTCCCTCCCCAAATCCCTAGTACATAGTTGTATATTCTAGTTCTAAGTCCTTGTAGTTCTTCTATGTGAGCTGCTGCCACAGCATGGCTAGTGACAGATGAGTGGTGTGGTTCCACGCCCGGGAACTGAACCCAGGCCACCAAAGTGGAGCATGCCAAACTTTAACCACTAGGCCATCAGGGCTGGCTCAAATTTCCGTTGTTTTAAGCCACTACATTAGTGGTAATTTGTTACAGCAGAAATAGGAAACTAATACAGAAGTCTGAGTTAAAAAAATAAAAATACATTTCAGACAAAATTACTTAGGAAATATTTTATTGTACAAAATTTACATTTTTTGTATGTCATGAAAGTCATGGCAAAAACAACCTTTTTTCTTTAAGATTTTCTGTGAAAAGTAAAGATTCATTTCATAATACATTCTCAGATAATATCACTTTTCACATAGTTGTTTAACAGTTGGGTTGGTAATAAGTATCTTGGGACATGAAGCATAAAACTGAAAACAGATCAAAAAAGCGCAGGGGGAAGACCACTGCCAAAGAGTAATCTCCAAGAACTTGGTATTTTCCAGGGCAAGGCAGATGCTGTGGGGTCATCGCTCTGTAACTGAAGAATAAAATATTTTAATCGCTCAATTTTACCAAGAAATCTCCCTTTAACATGTAAGTATTACAGAAGTCTCCTTTCTCTAATTTTTTTTTTTGTTCCTTTTGGTTTTGACACTTTTAGCTCAGTTTTATTGCAAGGAAAAAGAAAATAATAAATTTCTAGAAGACTTTATCTCAACTGAAGATAAATTTCCTCAAGTTCTAAATCATAAAGACATGCCAGAATCTCTGTGGATGGAGTCCATCAAGTAAAACCAAATTCAAAAGGAATAGGTGGTAAAAAAAAAAAAAAAGTCAGTGCTGTGTGATTTGTATCAATTTCTTCTTGGCAAAAGCCACAAATTAAAAAGACAGATACCTACCATATAAAGCAGCTTTATGGTACTTGTTATGCCTAAAGGCTACCTGATTTCCCTGGGTTTAACGTTCTTATTTCATAATAGAGAAAAACATTTTAATTATAATGCACGTTCAATAGCTACAGTATTGCTCACATAGTAATACCTTGTGCTTTCCTAAAAAAAAAAAATCCTGAATTCCAAACAGGACTTGTTTATTCTTGTAAGAAGCTGTCTATTATAATTAATGCAACAAAGACAATGAATACAATGAAGTACTTCAGATTTTCCTTTTTTGGAAAATCAGCCTTAATGAGGGCTGTAGACGATAGGTTGGTTAACTAACTACCCTCTTTCCTTTTCAAAACTTCAGCTAAACTAAATTCTATATAAAGTTATGTCTATATTTAACATAAACTTTCACTTATTTGGTCTACTTATATAATATATAAAATGCTAGTTTATGAATACATAACCAGAGAAATCAGAGGTTTATGCTGTAGTAAAACTTACATGTGGTTTGATTATCTGAAGCCATTCATTAAGATACTCAACAAGACCTAATGCATCTGGGATATTGTCTCCTTCTGAAACAAATTTCAGCAGAACCGCCACTGGGATTTCTTTCGAACAGCTACAACAAATAAAAATAATAATTAAGTATTCTTCACTGATACTGATTCCAGTATGTCTGTTTTTATAGCTAAGATAATCTGCCAGGTTGCAGGCAAGGAGAAGATGCCACATCATAAGATCACTCATTTATCTCCCTTTGCCCCAGATATATTCTTCTATTTGTGGGGACAGGACTAGGAACCACATAACACCCACTCTGGGCATACACAAGTTTGTGCCTCACACCAAGGCTACATGAAAAAACAACCCCTCTATCCATGGCTATAGCACATGAGGTATGTTCTGATCTACTCCCAAAACCTACTGCAGAAGACAGTGATTTCCGGAAGCACCACAGCAAAGAAACTGAAAGAAAACAAGACCCTTGTTATTAACAATCTAAAGCAGCATGGAGCCGGCCCAGTGGCATAGTAGTTAAGTTCACATGCTCCATTTTGGCCACCCGGGGTTTGCAGGTCCAGATCCCAGGCACAGACTAACGCACCACTCATCAAGCCATGCTGTGGCAGGCGTCCCACGTACAAAATGGAGGAAGATTGGCACAGCTGTTAGCTCAGGGCCTATCTTCCTCACAAAACAAACAAACAAAAAGTCTAAAGCAGCAAAGGAAAAGTGCAGAATAGAGCAGAACAGTTAAAGGGAAAGAAACTACTACTTCTTACAGATTCCATTTATTGAGTGATTATTATGTGCTAAGCATTGTCTGCATATTTTATGATTCAATCCCTATAACAATCCTTGAGGAAGTTATAATTGTCTCCATTTTATGAATGAATCAGTTTGGAATAACGGGAAGGACAGAATACCTGGATTCAAATTCTAGCTCTGCACTTACCACATATGTTGGGCAAGTTTTTAATTAGGGCTTTAGTGTTCCTCATCTGTAAAGGAGGGGTCACAGTAGAACTGACCTCACAGCTTGCTGTGAGGTTTAAAGGAGGTAACGGAGGCAAAGTACTTAAAACAGTGTGGAATACACAGTCAATGCTGTGTAAGTGTCAGCTATCACTGTGAGGCAACTGAGCTCTAAAGGGACTAAACCATGGTCAACATGCTCAAAGTTCTCTATCTAGGAAGTGGCAGAGGTGGGATTTGAACTTAGGTCCTTCTGACATGAAAACAGTCTCCTAACTGTTATGCTCTAAATGCCTCAAGATAGTGATGAGATGGAGATACACCAATGCAAAAAGCTTCCTGTTTGCCAACAAAAGCAAAAATCACTGCTAACACCGAAAACCAAGAACTACCAGAAAAACGTAATGCCAAAAGTCAAGAGCACATGATAGGCAGACAGAGAGGTACAGAAATAAAGGTGAGTTGGGCTGCTAAGCAGGGAATTTAACATGTGGAAGAGACTCTGACATGCAGGTTCAGAAGTCTCAGGTGTACCAGGAGAGTCTAACACAGCATCTCAGTCTCTCAACATTAGAAACTGGAAGTTGTAGGGGCCGGCCTGGTGGTGTAGCAGTTAAGTGCACCCTCTGCTTCAGCGGCCTGAGGGTTTGCAGGTTCGGATCCCAGGCTTGAACGGACGCACCGCTTGTCAAGCCATGCTGTGGCACCGTCCCATATAAAGGAGAAGAAGATGGGCATGGACGTTAGCCCAGGGCCCACCTTCCTCGGCAAAAAGAGGAGGATTGGCATCGGATGTTAGCTCAGGGCTGATCTTCCTCACAAAAAGATTAAATAAATATATAAATAAATAAAATTGAAAAAAAAAAAAAAAAGAAACTGGAAGTTGTTAGCATTAATTATACCATCTCAGTACATAGTTCTCAAGTACCTTAAAGGCTCTCAAGCTTTGTATGGAAGCACTGTGAGCTGTGATGGCTCAGAAGATTCTAGTTCCTAAATATTCATGCTATGACAGCCTTAGAAATGTCTCCTGTGTGGGGAAGGCTGGCCTCCCTGGGGACAGTCCTGAACTCACAGTGCCTCTTCTACTACTCTGTAACGCAAATAGTAGAATAACAGTTTAATACCATCCTCTGGTTCTCTCTGTAAAAAAGGTAAGTGGAGAATGACTTATTTTATTACTTTCTGTGACATTAAAATCTAGCACCTGAAATATATCCTTATTAAATTACAAATATACTTCTATTCCAATTAAACATAAGGGATCCCAGATCAGCCACACCACTGCCATCATTTATTATTAGAGTAACTAATACTATCTTTTCCAGAGACCAGAACACATATTTGTTCTAATAACGGGAAGGCAAAATATGTACATTAGGAAAAATTCAGCAAATAATCATGATAAGCACTGAGGGAAAAAAAGGATTCAAAATTCTATAAGCGGTATGATAAGGTTTTTTTTTTCAATTTCAAAAATTCTTTATTCCAATGAATATATAATTGCACTGAACATTAAACATTGGCTTGGTATAAATGAATAAAACATTTGCTACGAAAAATTAAAAGAAAATTGATTTTGTGAGGAAAATCTTTGAATAGGATGAACTCTAACGTTACAAACGTTAGGGTTGCACTATCTTGCAGATACATACATGCAATTCAACTATACTTTAAAGAAGCTGGGAAGAAAGATCAAAAAATTAGTAGTGTGGGGGGGTGATGTCAGCATCATGGTGGAATGAGTTGTTCCCTGTGTCTCTCTCCTCTAAGTTACAACCAGTGGGACAACCAGTGATCAACAAAGGCCTCCTTGCACAGTGCACCAGAATGCCTTAGAGATCCATATATTTATACACCTTAAAGTAGGTGAACCGAGCCTCCAGGAGGCAGTGGAACTAAGGGAACAGCCCCCATCACCTTCCCCAGTGGCTGTGACTGCAACACCTGCCCACCCAGCAGTGGAAGCTGCATCCAAAACGTGGATACCCCTGGCACTGGTGGTGGGGCCCTGACCTGAGATTTCACAAAGCACAGTGGCACCAGAGACCAGAGGCTGGAGGAGCAGCAATGCACTCCTGGCTCAGCTCCTGCCCCTCCCCCAGCAGTGGCAGGTGGCACCTGCAACCTGAGGCTTCAGGAAACACAGCAGTATCTGTGACCCAGCCCCCCGTGACACTGGCCCTACTGGCAGTGGGGGCTACATACAAGACCCTGAGACCCTGGCAGCGGCAGTGACACCCATGCACCTAGTGCCCCAAGCAGCGGTGCTGCCATCTCCCAGAGATAACCTGGGAGCAGCAGCACAGGCGGTCCATGTGGTAGCAGCACGTGAGCCCATGGAGAGCCCACAGAGAACCAGTGGGGGAACACGAGACCCATGCAACCCTGAAAGCAGCAGAGGTGCTTGCAGCCTGGTGATTCCAGTGGGGACACCTGCGACTGCAGTGATATCTTAAACAGCAAGGCAACAGCAATCTTGGAGGCACAAGCAGTGCAAGGAGCACATTGATGATACCTCTGGCAGAGGCGGTGGAGGGTAGAGAGAGCAGACTCTCAAATACAACCAGAAGTAGTTCAGAATCAAAATAACCAAAGCCTTACCCAAATAAGAAAGGTGTTACCACCACAAATGCGCCGGCAGAGGAACAAGTCATTAAGCACCATAAAGAACTACAGTAACATGGTAGCACAGAAAGAAAATGACAACTCTCCAGAAACCAAACTTGAAGTCACAAAGACTGCAATCTAACTGACAGAAAATTCAAAATAGCAGTCACGAAGAAATTCAACCAGTTACAAGAAAACTCAGAAAGACAGTTCAATGAGCTCAGGAATAAAATTAATGAAAAGAAGGAGTACTTCACCAAAGAGATTGAAACTCTAAAAAAAACCGAACACATTCTGGAGATGAAGAACACAATTAATGAGATGAAAAATAAAGTAGAAAGCATTGGAAACAGAGCAGACCATACGGAAGAGAGAATTAGCGAGCTCGAAGATAAAAATCTAGAAATGATTCTGGTGGGAGAGAGAGAACTAAGATTTAAAGAAAATGAAGAAATCCTATGAGAAATGTCCAACTCAATTAGAAAAAGCAACATAAAGATAATGGGTATCCTAGAAGAAGAAGAGAGGGAAAAGGGAGCAGATAGCTTATCTAAAGAAATAATAGCTGAGAACTTCCCAAACCTGGAGAAGTAACTGGATATACAAGTACATGAAGCTAATAGAACTTCTAATTATCTTAATGCAAAAAGACCTCCAAGGCATATTATATTAAAACTGTCAAAAGTCAACGACAAAGAAAGAATAGTAAGGGCAGCCAAAGAGAGGAAAACTTACAAAGGAACCCCCACCAGGCTATCAGCAGATTTCTCAGCAGAAACTCTACAGGCTAGGAGAGGAGAGTGATATATTCAAAATATTATCAGCCAAGAATACTCTATTCAGCAGTTATCCTTCAGATATGGAGAAATAAAAGCTTTCCCAGACAAACAAAAGCAGAGGGAGTCCACTGCCACTAGACCTGCCTTACAAGAAATGTTGAGAAGAACTCTCCTACCTGAAACAAAAAGGCAAAGGTTTACAAAGCTTCCAGCAAGGTGACAAATAGAGAAACAGAATCAGAAAATTGCAACTCTGTATCAGAATAAGTTAGTGAACACTTAATTATAACATAAAGGCTAAAAAGAAAGAAAGCATAAAAAATAACTATAATCACCTCAATTTAGTAACAAACTCACAACACACACAAAAAAGATAATTTGTGACAACAAAAACATAGAAGAGGAAGAGGAAAAGAATGGAATGTGCATAGGCTAATGGAGGTAAGATGTTATAAGCAGAACAAGAACTATGTCATCTATGAGATCTTTTATACAAACCTCAAAGTAACCACAAAACAAAAATTCAGAGCAGAGTCACACATAAATGAACAGGAAACTGAGAAAAACATCACAGAAACTCACCGAACTAAAACGGCAGACAGAGATACAGGAAAAAAGAAATAGTGGAAATACAGAACAATTTGAAAACAGCAGTTAAAATGGCAGTATTAAGCCCAAGTATATCAATAATCACTCTAAATGTAATTGGATTGAATTCACCAATCAAAAGACACAGAGTGGCTGGATGGATTAA